CCTTGTTTCTCTGATCATCTACAACTTTATTCTGATTTTGAGAGACACTCTTACCATACCTCTTATCTAGTTTTCTCAAGACTTTATTAAAGATCTTATTGAGCCTGAGATATTCATCACAATCTTCATAACTATAAACAATCGTTGGATGATTCTTTGCATCATGATAAATCTTGGGTTGATGAACAACTCCTCCTTCATTGAAATTCTCCATCTTGAACATAATATATCTTCTTTGGAGCTTACCCAACAGGATAAGGTGCCTGCTCTAATGCCAATTGAAATTCAATTCCTCAGAGTACATATATTAAACATGGTGCCCTAGATAACTAGTCCAACAAGATGAACAAGAATTACTGTAATTAACACATATTTAATTGTACAAGATGATGGAGCATAAAAAAATAAAGATCACAATAATTGGTAACCCAAATTGATGCAATAAAACCTACGTCTAAAGGTTTTAGCCAATTTTGCTTATTTGATCTATCAAATGTGGGCATCTTTCACTTCTTTTTGTAAAGAAAGTGTTAAAAACCACTTTTGCTTTGGTTGATTTTTAACATTATGGGAAAATATCTTGGTTCCTTTGATTTGCGTGTTATTGTGCAGGAATTAGGCATGAAAAAGTGAAGATTAAGACATAAGAAATATGACAAAGAAACCAAGTCAGCATGCAAACAACAACAAGTTTGCTGGGCGAACTTGCTAACGAAGCTGCCACCAAAACTTCACAAAGTTCGCTAGGCGAACTATGTAGCGAAGATCAGGAATCCAAAACAGTAAGGAAAGGGCCATAAACTCGCTAGGCGAAGGAGGCAGCGAAGAACTCGCTAGGCAAAGAGGTAGCGAAGAGGTATCGAACACTCCCAGACTTGAGACAGTAAGGAAAAGGCCATAAACTCGTTGTGTGAACTTTGCAGCGAAGGCTTCGCTAGGCGAACATTTCTTTGCACAGCGAACATTTGGATTTCTATCTGGGGAGCTTTCATAGGACATAGGCACTTCAGGTGCCATTTTGGGTGTTCGCTAGGAGAACAATTCGTTCTCACTGTGAACGTGACAGCTCAGCAGCCACTTCTATAAGTAGTATGAGCTACTTTTTGTAAAAATATCTAATTTTTTGTTCTTGCATTTGAGAGGGTTTTCAGACCTAGAAAGCTCATTCCTCCATTTCTCATCATCTCTTAGCAATATTTCACAAAAAGAAGGTGGATTCCCATCCAATCTCGATTATTCGATTTGGATGTTGATCAACCTTCTTCTGAAACTTTTTGCTCAAGCTATCATGGAAATGGTTGGCTAAATCCCTCTCTTGTCAAGGTTAGAAGTAGTTAGTTCAGATTTTATGTATTCCATTTGATCTTTTGTATGTGAACAAATGTTGTGATCAATATAGACGAAGTTTTTTTCTACTCTTCGTACATTTATGGTTTGGATTGCTTTAGACATGAACTTTCCAAGTCTTGACCTAATATCTTCATCTATCAACTATACAAATTCTAGACATAGGTTTGAAAGTTGATATTCGCTTTGTATTGATCTTAATGCTTATTGTTTTGATTGTTACTTAGAAAGATCATTTAATGGTCGAAACAATAACATTCACGAAATCGCTTAAGAAATGAACGTGTTTGCGAGGATACGTGATTATGTTGGTTAAAACTTCGTTCACATATTTGATCGGTTGAGTACGTTTATGACGGACTAGCGAACCCTAATCTTGACATGTTTTTATCAAACTAAGACCGGATTTTATTCAGCTTTAATTCTTGTAAACTTTAGTTACGAAAATTGAAACCATTCTAAAAACCCCATTTCTTAAGACATTAAACTGTTGAACGACAAGCATCTATATTCTCATCAATCCCTGTGGAGACAATAAAACACTACACCAAAATACTTTCTAACAAAAGGGTTGACTTCCAACCCAAGAAAGGAAATTCACTATTAGTAGCTTAGTACAATTAGTCTTACAAGTAACAATAAACCCTATGTTGTTCAATGCCTCTTCTAACAATACCCAATGAATTTCTATTTAAGACTCCTCCTAAATATGAGAACCCCTATCACTTTCTCTCAATTACTAAACCCTAGTGATTGGTGATTCACCCAATTATCAATGTCAAATATTACAACTCAACTAGACAAACCTTATATTCTAAGTTACTAAAACATAGAGGTGTACATAATAATGTTGAATGTGCAACTCAACTAGACAAACCTTCTATGACAAGTTACTGAAACACAAAGGTGTACAAAATAATAAGGACTCTTGTAAACCCTAGCGCTCTAAAATATTTAATGTGAATGCTTTCTTTCAAATGTAGGTTTGAGCTCCTTAAATAGCATCATAAATCTGGGTTTTTCTCCTTGGATATCAGCTTTAATTTCGTACATAATTAATGCAAAATATGTTAAACATTATTTGTTCCATAAATATCTCCAGCAAGATATGATTTGTTTCAATTTAAATCCAAATTTAAATATTTATTTAAATATGGATCAATCTTCGTCCAACTCTCAAATGAATCACCTAATCATATTTCTAAGCTAATAAGCAATAAAATATGATCCAATCTTTGACCAAAAAATCTTCCAAAACACAACAACATTGACCTATCGCGCAAGGTCCATATGTTATACCAACATGTTGTGACATCGCATCCAACATGTGTCCCTTTTGCACCAGTACATATTAATTTATTCCTCTCAATAACTTGTAGATCTTCTAAGGTAGAAACAGTCTTGGATAGAGAACAAATTGCAATATTATATGTCTGTTGCAAGATACCAGATGTTGTAGCTAATAATGACATTTGTCTTTTTGATGAAGACCAGATGTCGTACCAAACATGTTGGAGCACTGTGTGCCCAATGTTACATCAGAGCATCCTAAACGAATCTTCTTCATATAAAGTCTTCTTTTGTAGAGTAGTCCTTGGACCAAAATTTCCTTAAATGTATATTCAATCAAATCTTCTTTGACTGAAGCAACTCTAAATATTTTCTAGCCGACTTTAGATTATCAACACAACCTTCTTCCCAAAATCCAAGTTCTGGATCAATAGAAGAAGTAAGCACTTCAACACTTCAACACTTTGGAAGGGCATCAAAAGACAATCAGGCTCCAAACCTTAAGCTCGTTGCTTAACTAGTTATGTCAAGCACTTTAGCCAACCAACTCTTTCTCAACTAATTTTGTCAAACAATTTAGCCAACAACTCTTCTTGGAAAAAAACATAGATGCTGGAACATCTTGTTCCACATGTTACTTAAACTACATCTTGTTCACGTGTTGTTTTGCCAAATGTAGTCAATCTAAAAGGAACAACATATTCATTAGAGGCAAAGCATAAAAAGAGAGACCTCTATCAACCTTCTTTATATCGAGGCTACCAACCACCCTTCTATCCCTGGACACAACTTCTTCTTTCAAATATTTCATAACCATCTTCATAAGAAACCCTAACAAATGGGAAACAAATACAAAAGAGAAAGAAACTTTGATTATTACCTTGAAAGAAGTGATATTGTTAGGTCGCACAAGTAATGTTTATCGCAAACACACTGCAAAGACGTCGAAACAACAATGGACGAGATTTTTTTGAAACAACTAGAAGTAAATGCAAAAAAAAGGAGGAATTATCATACCTCAAGAGCGACGGAAAGGAAAAATATATCCTTGGAATCCTTATGTATCCCTTGGTACATCTATCATACGATTAACGTTATATAGCATATAGCATAGGAAAGTACAACCATGCCACCAAAGGTTACGATCTCTCCTTGAGCTCTTGAAACACTCAAGTACCCTAAAAAGATAGTCATCATCATTGTATCACCTAAAACTGCGCGTCAAGTTTGTCCCTAAAAAAGTTTTAGTTGCGAGATGAGTATTCAACGTGCATGTTCTCGATGCAATCAACTTCCCTCAAACCCTTTCCACTTCCTTCAACCAAAGGTCGACTTGAAAACTTGGTAAATAGTCAAGGGTATCCCGAGCCACACATCCCTCACTTCAACAAGTCGTAACAAAGGTTTGAGGGGCAATTGTTCTAGGCCATTCAAAATGCTTACGGACAAAGGCCGAATCATGGGGCCAAACATGGATGGCACATGCAGCGAGCGGGAAGCAGGTGAGACCTTAGTCAAGCACAGAGCATGTGATCCCAACCTCCGACTTATCTTTAGCTGTCAGATCAAATCGAATGACAATTCACACAATGTTTTAGGTTAAGCGAGAACAGTTTTAACCGCTCACCCTATATATGCTTTGCATGCTCCAGTTTCAAGTATTTTTTTTCACTCACTTTAAAATGATTTTTTTTAATATTTCACTAACTTGGATGTAGAAAATCTCATTTATCTCGTTTCATATTCCTAGTTTCATTAGAGAATCTAATGCTATGGATTATTGAGTAAGTTTATTAAGATGTAAGTGTATATGGAAAAGAAGACTCAATTCAATAAGAAAAAAATTAATTGGTTTCAAACAATTTATGGAGTTAAATGTCATGCACAATACTTTTACATCTTTTACATATTTGGCTTGGATGAAACATGTGTATGATATTTTCAAAAAATACTTGGCCACTATTTTACAACAGCTGAGCAGATATAAGTCCAATATGGAGACCTAACTTTAATGAAGATTAGGTAAGTATGCCTTACTTCCCAAGCACCAAGCCCCACAAGGCTTTTATATAACTTTATTAAGGTTCCTATAATATATCATACTTCTCAATCAAAAACTTCTCATGCATCTTAAATTATTTTATTGAAAAATAACATGCAAGTTATCCACCGACAGCTGGGCAACCAAATTTTGCTTAATGCTTGCCCATCATCAAAGTAAGCAATTATTCTCCCTTCATTCCCTGCACTGATATATAAACCACTTTTTCTTCTCCACTTGCATAACTCAACTTCACTCACTTTTCATCTATATATGTGTACCATTTTGGTTCAACTTAGTAACCTATAATGTGAAATGAATCATGGAATATCAAAGATCCTTCAGCAATGGCTCTAATAACCTACAAAAAGAGTTACCTAACACATGCATTGTTTCTTCACAACACAGCCTCGCATCAGTTCCTTCCCTCAACTCAAACTCAAACTCACAACTTCAAGAATCTTCCTTCACATGCATCACAACTCTGAAGCTCCACACTTACATATCCTCTTTAACCCTTGCAGGAAAATTCCTCTACACTGGTTCATCCAACAAAGAAATCACATCATGGAATAGTACTCATTTTCATTCTCAACCACAAGAGTCAATTAACACAATAGTTTCTGGAAACGGTGCAGTGAAATCAATAGTAATCCATTCAGACAAGCTTTTCACAGCTCATCAAGATAACAAAATCCGCATTTGGAAAATCACAATCACCAACGACGAACTTCAACAGCAACACAAGTTCACCCACTTAGCCACACTCCCAACATTCACCGACCGTTTCACAACAATCTTGAACCCCAAAAACCATGTTAAGATTCGAAGGCACAAAAAATGCACATGGATTCACCATGTTGACACAGTCTCTTCCCTTGCCTTATCCAAAGACGGAACCTTGTTATACTCCGTTTCATGGGACAGAACAATCAAGATTTGGAAAACCAAAGACTTAACATGTTTGGAATCAGTGCAAACCGCGCACGACGATGCAATAAACGCAATCACAGTTTCTGATGACGGATATGTTTACACTGGATCAACTGATAAAAAAATCAAGGTTTGGAAGAAAGAAAAAGGCGATAAGAACCACTCGTTGGTAGATACACTGGAGAAACACGGGTCTGGTATTAATGCATTGGCCCTTAACAGTGATGGTTCAGTTTTATATTCTGGTGCATGTGATAGATCAATATTGGTGTCTGAGAGAGGCGAAAATGGTAATTTGGTAGTGATGGGTGCGCTTCGTGGTCACACAAAGTCTATATTGTGTTTGGCAGTAGTTTGTGATTTGTTGTGCAGTGGTTCTGAGGATAAGACAATCCGAATTTGGAGAAGCAATAGTAATAATGTTGATAGCTATAGAGAGTATTGTTGTTTGGGTGTTTTAGAAGGACATAAAGGTCCAATTAAGTGCCTAACTGCTGTGCTTGATCATTTTGATGAACAATCATCGGATTCGGATGCGACTTTTCTTATCTATAGTGGAAGTTTGGACTGTGATATTAAGGTTTGGAAGATGTTACTTCCTCTTCTATGAAGTATATATATATATATATATATATATATATATATATATATATATATATATATATATATATATATATATATATATATATATATATATATATATATATATATATATATATATATATATATATATATATATATATATAATTATACTCCTTTTATTTTTCTTCTTTTAGATGTTTTGTATTCTTTTTCCAACCTCAGATTTCTCAGAAATGTCTTCATCTGTATTAGGAATCATCAATACTTTAGGCAACGATTAAGAACAAAAAGCATTCATTGGGCGAATAATCCAAACTTGTTGCAAATCCATGATATTAATTACAGATTCTTGGCATTTTTATTCTACTGCATCAATCAATAAATACCCAACATATTATAAACTCACGATGAAACATTCTGAAATCAAACAAATGAAATCAGCAAGGACATTATGCATTGATAAATAATAATGAGTTATAATATTTCTACACCTATTTCTTACACCAAATACTTACACCAAACATTGTTTACTGTACTTATACGGTGTACAGTGTTTTTATTTTTTTAATAAATAAAAAATAATATTTATAATACGTGAATAGTGCATGAACTGTGCATAAACAATACCTTTAAAATAATGAAATACAGTTGGTTAATAAAATTAAAAAGTTGGTTAATAAAAGGATGAAGTTGGTTAATAAACACTCAGATGTTAAAAATAATTTTTAACAATAAACCAAAATTGATAAATGAAATGTAAAAAATTGGTTAATGAAGTTATGAAGCTAATTAATACGCGTATATATATTAAGAATAATTTTTAACAGTCAATAAAGTTGGTTAATACAATGTATAAAGTTGATTAATAAAGTTATGAAGTTGGTTAATCACACAATTTTATGTCAATCTCATTTAATTTAAAAATAAAAAATATTAAAATAATAATTTTTTATTTAAAAATAAAATATTATTATAATATTTCACTGTTCACCGTATAGATGAACAGTGAAATACAGTGTAGATGTATGATTTTAGTGTAGGAATAGCATTTTTGAATAATAATTACCCAACACATTCTTATTCTTACTTTTTAACCAAACAAAATGAAATAAGAAAGAACGTTAATAACATCTTCAGAGTTGTAATCTAACAGAAAACTATCAAAAAGTCTAAATAAAATCAATTCCTCCACAATCAGGAAGGAACGATAATACTGTCTTCTTCATGACTTGAAGTTCTGTTTCGTGACTTGAAGCTCAGCCAATTTAAGCGAATGATGAAGTAATCAACATCATTCTTGCGATAACTTAGCTAAACACTCTCACCATTTAGAAGTTCACTAAGGATGTTGCCATCATCAAGAGGAACACATGGAAGAAAAAAACCATAATTAAGAATGATGATTTTAATGTTATATTTGTAAAAAAATCTGTCTAGGGCGAGGACCGTAGGCGGCCTCAGAAAAGGCGTGTCGACCAAGGGAGGGTATCACTTCGCCCAAGATTTTTCTATAGTCTAATTATGAGAAATGTGAGATAAGACGTTTCTTGGGCAGAGAGAAGTCAGAGTCATTGACTGACTCACATCACTCTTGGAAATACGAATTCAACAGTCCACCAAGTGGACAGTGATCCTTTCTAAGAACACCCTAAATTCAAGAGGCCTCTAGAAATATCACTCTCCAAGAGGAGAAAAATGACAGATCTTAATCCATATAGATTGCACCCTGTCGCTACGCGAAAAATGACACAGAGTCGCCACCGGATTTTATTTATATCCCAAGGAGGGAAAGGAAAATAACGATAAAACCTTTAGGGAAAGAGCATGGTCATCGCACATCCATCGTACTCGATGGGAACCTTTTAGGTTGTTTAGCTTGAATGGGTGTTTTAATCTAAAAGTTTGCTTGCTTAAAAGAAAAGAGGGGTTAATTTTTTATTAGAGTGCTCGCCAAGGATTGTGGCCCTTGTACCTACGTATCCTCACTTAAAAGAAGTGAATAATCAGAGCTCCGTAATTCGGAGGCTTATGAATTGGTTGTTTGTTGGTTGATTTTATACCTTGAAAAAGGGTTTTCGGATTGAGGCCCTAAGGCGAAATTTTTTTGATGAGTTGATGTTATTTTTAGGTTTTTGAGAAGAAATTGTGTTTGATTAGGATTACACTCACTACAACATTTTTTACTCTATAGCAACGCCTAATTTTCAGGAAGTAAAAAAATTGTTCTTGTAGAGAGTAATAGGCAACTAATTATATAATTTGTTGCTGTAGCATATTTAGTTTTTTGTAAATTTTATACAACGGCCCGAAACCGTTCTGATAGAGAGAAATGAGAACGGCTCCTATTAGCAACGGCTAGAACCGTTCTTATATAATTTTTAATTATTTTAATAAAATATCATTACTAACAAAATTTTCAATCTCCCTCCACGAGTAAAATTTTCTTTCCCTCCCACCGTTCTCATACGTTTCAGTCTCCCTCCACGAGTAAAATTTTCGACTCCCTCCACGAGCTTCTCTCAAACCGATTCATTGTCCCTCCCAAATACGAGCTTCATCGAACGATTCTCTCAAAAGTACGAGCTTCTCCTTAACCCTAATATTCATCCCAAATTGATTCTTCATTGTACGAGCTTCTCCCAAACTCTAACATTTTGTTCTTCACCCATATTGATTCTTTTCTCAAACCCTAACATTCATCCCAAACTTGTGTGTGTAAATGTTCTCCTTCAACTTTCTCTATTTTCTGCCGATAAATCTAACGGTTTTATTTTCATAGGTCTCAATTTTCAAATGTAATAGTGCGCGAGTTTTCAGCGGTGTGCATTTTCGGTTCATCCTGGTAAAAAGGTAATAATTTGATTATAATTCTTAGCCCTGTGTTATTTTGGTGGGTCATTGAGTTAGAGATAGTTAATTAACTCAAATTATCTAGTGCTTCTCTGCATCTGTCCGGTGCCGGTGTCGCTTCTCTGCTAGTGCTTCTCTGCATCTGTCTGGTGCCGGTGCCGCTTTTGTTTCTCTCAAAGAGGATACAAGGAGACAAGAGTATAGATAAGATCGCATGGTATTGTCTTAGAGGTCTTTTCAAATCATCAAACGATATAATAGACAATAATGATTCAAAAGTTTCTGCTGATGAAGATAATGAGTTTTTTCCTAAAGAGTACTTCTGATTATGGATTATTGAAAGAGATTGTTAACAGGTTCTTACCAAAATCTAAGGAAGAGAATAATAAGAAACAGGAACAATAGATATACTCTTCCTTAGGTTTTGCCATCTCTTCCTTAGAAAATTGGTAATTAATAAGTTATGCTAATCTTTATTATTACTATGCCAATGTCATACAAATATTTGAGAGTAAGTTATGTTAAAAGCTATTTGATTTTTGAGTACTTTTTTGACAGTAAGTTAGGTAAATTGTTTGAGAGCATATAGGTATAATTACAATATTGTATTGATATAGAGAATCAAAACAAAGTATTATATATCAACTCTACAATTTGTGTATTATGTATCAATTCTACATTACATGTCTTGTAAATTATATCAAAACAACAACATATGACAGTTGAAGTGAGGAAGTGGTTTAGGTTGGCCACGTGTCTCCACGTGTATTATGTACAACTTAATATTTTGTGAAAGTTGTCCTACTGCTATTATTATGGCTTTTGCACTTGTAAGTATTTTTGTGAGTATGTTTAAAGTATGCTGAAGGTTATTCTTCTGCTACTTCTATTGATACACTAGTAAGTATTTTTGTAAGTATGTTGAAAGTCATTATTCTGCTACTACTGATAATGCACTAGTAACTATGTTGAAGGTTATTTAAAAATTATGTTGATGTTGTTCTTATTATGGTGTTAATGCACTAATAATATGTTAAAAGCTATATTGAACTATACCAGTGTCATATGTTGTTGTTATGGTGTTAATTGACTAATAAATATGTTACAAACTATTTAAAAGTTATGTTCAACTATGCCACTGTCATACAAATATTTGAGAGTAAGTTATGTTAAAAGCTATTTGATTTTTGAATACTTTTTTGACAGTAAGTTAAGTAAATTGTTTGAGAGCATATATGTATAATTACAATATTGTATTGATATAGAGAATTAAAACAAAGTATTATATATCAACTCTACAATTTGTGTATTATGTATCAATTCTACATATCATGTTTTGTAAATTATATCAAAACAACAACATATGACAGTTGAAGTGAGGAAGTGGTTTAGGTTGGCCACGTGTCTCCACGTGTATTATGTACAACTTAATATTTTGTGAAAGTTGTCCTACTGCTATTATTATGTCTTTTGCACTTGTAAGTATTTTTGTGAGTATGTTTAAAGTATGCTGAAGGTTATTCTTCTGCTACTACTATTGATGCACTAGTAAGTATTTTTGTAAGTATGTTGAAAGTCATTATTCTGCTACTACTGATAATGCACTAGTAACTATGTTGAAGGTTATTTAAAAATTATGTTGATGTTGTTCTTATTATGGTGTTAATGCACTAATAATATGTTAAAAGCTATATTGAACTATACCAGTGTCATATGTTGTTGTTATGATGTTAATTGACTAATAAATATGTTACAAACTATTTAAAAGTTATGTTCAAGTATGTCACTGTCATACAAATATTTGAGAGTAAGTTATGTTAAAAGCTATTTGATTTTTGAGTACTTTTTTGACAGTAAGTTAGGTAAATTGTTTGAGAGCATATAGGTATAATTACAATATTGTATTGATATAGTGAATTAAAATAAAGTATTATATATCAACTCTACAATTTGTATATTATGTATCAATTCTACATTTCATGTCTTGTAAATTATATCAAAACAACAACATATGACAGTTGAAGTGAGGAAGTGGTTTAGGTTGGCCACGTGTCTCCATCAAACATATTGGGAGAGAGCAATTATTGATGTTGAGACAGAATATGGATACCTTGCAGTTACTGCTGCTGGTGTACAAGTAATTGCTGCTAATTTGAAGTGGAAATTTGAATGTGAATG